AAGGCATCGCCTTACTGATATTGCACTGAACGATATTAAGGGGTGATTGAAGGAATAAGATGTACAGTCTCTTCTTGTATAGAATAAAATAGCTTGATAAGGATTCTAATTATTCCGTTTAAGACTCTATTGAGAAAATGTCTTAGGAAAATATACCCGGTAAAACAACTTCAAAAACCACTAGGTTATACAAGCTGTCCAAGTTATTTATCGCAGTGGTTCGTATTTTTTTACATATATTTTCTTACGTAATGACTTATTCGACCTGACAATCTCGTTGTTAATGGGCATACCACTAGTCTCAAAAGAAAAAAAAAACAACGTACAATATGCTTCTGGATATCGCTATAAGTTGACCCACTTGTCCATAATGGACGGAAATAACCGAATAATAGCACGTACATAGGAGACATTTAGGTGTTCAAGTGCAAAAACAACTTTTGACCTTGTTTGCAAAAAAAAAATGTTTGAATATTTCGTTTGTTTCAGCACTTTTATACTTCGCTGTTTGAAAAAAAATTTCACTCACGGACATAATTTTTTAAAAAGTATTGCTTTTCATCCACGTGCTCAACAAAAGATAGTTACACGGGGGCCTAATTAGGTTAATATTTGATTTTATAGCTGCTTGAGTGGCACGCTACTTCTGACGAGCACAGCTCATGCTGCAACAGCAAACCAGTTAAACTTTTTCCATTAGGCGAGTGTGGCAAAAAAAGTTGAAATACTATCATTTGTATGTAGTGTGCAGACCAGGTTACATAACTGGTGCCGGCACCCTCTCTTGCCTTAAAAGAGGACTGTATCGGCTGAACGCTAAGCCCGTCGAGGCCCTTTCTTAGGTCTGCCGAAGAAGTTTCAGTGAAAGTGGATGCTTTAGGATTGTAGGTTGCAGAAAGCTGCACATTGATGACAATATTTAGTTCGGTAAACGTAATATAACCTAGTATTGAAGAAATATTGGCGTATACAGTGTAAATATACCCGGCAAGTACAATACGTCTTATATTACAGACAAAACGGGCCCGTAAGAGCGTGTGCTGATCCCTGGAGTTAGTGTAGATTTGAGACAGCCTTCCATGCACTGTGAGACAGAGGGCTTTTCCGTGGCCCCTACAGAAAATATTAGAAGTAGCCCTTTACAGTTGAAGAGCTGTCACAGTAGCTCCTTCCTTGTGAAAGCTGACTGTTGTCCCTCAATCAGAAGGAGTTTACAGCAGAAAAATGCTGCGATGAATGCTAGATGTTTAATTCGCTATCACTTTATGTCGGCAATGGGTTCATAATACGTGGCACAGCGGTAACACACATGGCCGAGGAAGAGACGACATAATGACCGCTATAGCTCTTGTCCTTTTTTTTCTCATCCACGTGTGTTAAAGCTATGACAGATATTTCTGCATTTAAACAACTATCCGAAAAATTGAAGACGTCGCATGTGCTGAGACACTTTAGCCGCATGTGAGCCACTGTGAATATTATAAATTGAAATTGCTGCTTCTAACTTTTAGGAAAATACTCCTAAACCATGAAGGCAAAGAAAACGATTTATATCACGTGATAACCTGCAAACGTATTGTACATTGGCAGTCCGAAAAAGGCAGTAAGAAAAATGCATAACAGCCATATGCTAAAAAAACGGGAACACAAACTAACCAATCCTAATAAAATGTACAAATCTTTCCAAGTCTGAGTTCGAATAACGTCCTTGCTGGCATAAAACAATTTTAGTTTTGTCCGTTTTGAGCGAAAGCTTCGTTTTTGCGAACTTATAGGCGTGTGTAAATTTCACCTGTTCACCTGCTTTTCGCGCGACGTAGAGTTTTTATATATTTAAGTGAGGCCTTCATACTAACCACTTTTAAGTTCTTGCTGTGTTTAAGTCAATTTCATAACGTACACTGAACTCTGAGCTACTCTTGTATACACACAAGAGAATATTGTTTCATTAGTATTGTTTTACGATGACGATGACCGATGAATGCTTTGAGGTATCAAAATATACGTTGCCATTGCTTTGTTTATACCATGCCGAATAGGAGGGCCCCGATGCCATTTCGCGGACCTGGATATTGAGGCTCTCATTTCCAACATGCTGGACAAGATGCCCGAGGAGTGGGCTACACAACCGGATTTCACCCAGACGCTGATTCCGGGAGTCGAGATCGGAGGAGCCTAACGTTACAGGTCTTCGGCTGCTGCGTCTCTACGGACCAATCTTCCCCTACTGCGAAAACGGGACGAGAATGATTCAGTTCGACCTGGTAAACCGAGGAGGAGGCATTCAGATTACGTTTCCGTGGCAGTTTGTTTGCCCTGCACATGGTGGTACCATCGGATTGGCAGTGGGCTTTACAAGAATCACAGTGCCACTGCGAGTGGACGGCTCGGGTGGCGAAGCCAAGCTCTTTTACGAAGGTCCAGCGACTCCAGTGGCTATCGAAAAGATTCATCTTAGGCTCACCGGGGCCGGAAAGCCGTTGGAAGATGCCTTCGACTTGATCGGGAAGCTCGCACCAACCCATCAACGGGAGGAGTGGAATCGGCTATTTTTCACCACTTTGTACGAGGTTTTCGAGAAGATACTGTAATGAAAGTTACCTTCTATGATTGTCCGCAAAGAGAAAGAGGTCGGAACTGGCGTGCTCTTTGGATGTGAATATATAATACGCAAGAATGGCCACGAGAGGAAAACAAGATTTGTAGTTCTATGTGCTTTTATGTTCTATGTGCAGTTCTATGTTCTATGTGCAGTTTTCAATGCATTTAAATATCTAATTATGAATACCAAAAGAAAATGCCAGAATATCAAATTCATTTTGCTCTAACAAGGGCAGACTGGTCTATCTACTTATTTCTACTTTATATATTTAACAATATTCCCAGTGATTATTCGAAATTAACACTTATGCAATAGCACAGATTTCTTCGTCCCGAACCTAGACAGTATTTTGGAAATAAAAAGAGAAAACAATCCTATTAGGGCTATTTAAGGCTTCATTTTGAGCAGTCAATATTTCATCACTACCAAGAAAAAGGAGAATTTACCCAGCATAGTTTCGCAGATACCCGAAGAAGAATGAGAAATAAAAAAATTATGTCAGAGCAGTGCCACAGCGCGTCATTCTAAAATAAAAACGTGGGTTCAGTGTACATGACGTGTTTTTTCGATGGTATTGCTTCAAATATAGGCCACTTTTATGACCTTCAATTTGAGTGGGGTAGTCTGCGGAGGACTTTTTACTGAAAAAATAACGCAAAGAGCAGGTTCAAGTGCTGATGCATTTTAACCATCGACTCCCTCCACGCAATACTGCGCATTTGAGGAAAATAATGCATTGCCCTATGTACCAAACAAAGCACTAAGCCAATGTAGAACTTAAACTTGCCTCCTCGATGCTAGTTTTCCTTCACCATTTATATATCTCTTTCGGTGTCATCGCACCTCTTCAGGCTTCATCCATTCCCATTTGGCATCATGTGTGCTTCACTTTTCAATGTTGTTTCTAATCAATTCATTTAACGTAATAATTTGGTCATTAAATCATTTATTACCAGGCCTCTTAATGTATGAACAAAAATTCAACTTGCTAGGTAGTATATAATTATGCTTTTGCTGTTTTACTAACAAACTAATGATTTACGAAACGAAATAGCTCATGATTCTATGCGCCTATACAGAAAAAAATATAATTTCAACAATTCTACTGTTCAGTGTACCAATGTGCTGTATTTGAAGCTTCATACTGTATCATGGCTTTAGCAATAACGTGTATGCCTAAGCAATTACATAGGTATATTTGTCTGAAGCTGAAGAACGACTCTCTTTAAATATTGTCGAGTTGCAGAATCGTAAGAAATATTTAAATACATGAACTGTATTATTTTTTCATACAAAAAGATCATAACATCGTCTGATATTCAATGATGCATTGGAAAATTATGGTGGAAATTTGAATTTCTATTTGCGAAGGACGCCTAATGTTTGTTCATACAATCCACAGGGAACAGAAGCACCAATAAACCTTTTAACACTCTACTATATTCATACGATGCTTATGTACTTTCAATTTTCAACCCGTCACATACGCTAGTAAAGTGTACTACCCTAATTATGCCTGCTGTGACTGGATATAAGTTTCGTTGTGGGCGCAGCATCTTTAATGCGTAAGATTTTGCTTAGGATTATATGTCAAACACATAAACGCACAATCACATTGGCCTTTAACATATATGAGATAGACTATGGCGCTGGGAATTTCATAAAAGTAGGTGTTATGTGCTAAGGCAGTTACACCGAAGACTTAGGGGTGCTGCTATTTATTTAGGTCTAGTTATGGGATGACGAAATAGCACAGCCGATCATGCTATAAATAAAAACTTCAGAGCACGAAAACTGGGCACTGCGTTAACAAAAGTCGCAAGAGACACTTTCACTATAGCTCTCACTTTTTGGCCGCCTGATATTTCACATGGTTTCTTTGGATAATATAGCTTTTAGAAACATTGAAAGCACATACAAGTTTCAGCGACAAAAAAAAAAACACGTATTAAGATGAAGGGACACGACCTGCATATGATCTGACTAGCAATTACAATGCCCAACCACTAAGGTTAATTCACTTTTTTTCAAGCTCTAAGTGTGTTCAAGTGTACATTGCCGGCTGGGCTCAACTGGCAAACATTCACAGAGACACGATTGTGCTTATTGTATTACCGCTATCCATAAATGCCTAATTAACAACGTCATAATTTCAATGAAGTACAAGTACCTTTTCTTTCTCATTTTTTATCTGTATAATTGCGCTGCTATCTAACAGTGAGTCCCCTTGAAGTTGCGTCATCTACTAACCCAGTTGCGAAGGTCAGAAGCATATTTTCGTTCCAGACGCTCTGACAAGATATCGCACATCGTATCGCGTTTCAAGAACTCATTCTGATACCAAGAGTAGGCAGTCCGCACTAACTCTGATACAAGAAACCAAGACAGACCCTGCCTTTTTTCTTGAATTTCGTCCCCCGGAAAAACCATACTTGAATCACATATACTCTGAGGAGCAGCCGCAAGACTGCTGCAGTGGCACCTATAGTGGAAGAGACAAGGTATGTGCGTGCTTTTCTTGATAAATACTTATTCTGTGCATACTAACAGACGTCGAATCATCGCTGAATATACTGTCTAGAATCATTTGCGATAAGTTAAGGAGCTCACGCTCAACCTATAGTGAAGGGTATGCGCCCATAGAAGCCTAGAGAGCTTATAAGCCAAAGCACAGGTTCCAGTTACGTGTTTTGCGCACAAGTCATCAAGGTGACATGGAGAACATGCTTTGAAAACTGTTGTGGAGCCCGAGTAAGTTCAGGTCTCATAATTTCATTCCCCCCTTGTGTTGTCAAAATCTCACGTGTTCTTTTGTACCACGTTTGCAATGTATAACAATAGAAGCTTAAGCGAATTGGTATCCGTTCATCCTGGTTGACAGCCCACATCAACTGACGACGAAGAAAAACAACACAGACAGGCGCAACGTGTTTTCTAAGTGGCTATATATATATAGATTATTCGATTTAGACCCACCATTACCTCTGTCTCAAATCGCATCTGATAGCCTGCATCGATCCGTGCTCAGATATACTCCTTTTTTGAATTTTCGCTTTTGTTTCTATAGAATTTTTTTCATTCCACAATTAGGTTGTGTTTGAAAAACCATAAGCCTTTTACTTAAGATCCTGCCGCCCGGTTCTTCACCAATCCTCTTTGCGGGTGTGCGCCAGAGAAACAAGGATCATCATGATCAGTAGCTCCCGCTCACGAAAGACAATTATATATATATATATATATATATATATAAATATATATATATATATATATATATATATATATATATATATATATATATATATATATATATATATATATATATATATATATATAGATTACACTCTCTAGCTCCTCGAATAGCTGTACTATTCGAGGAGCTAGAGGGTGTTAAATGGGATATAATAGAGCTCAGTGAGGTTAGGAGGACAGATGAGGCCTATAATGTGCTACAGAATGGGCACGTCCTTTGCTATCGGGGCTTGGCAGACAGAAGAGAACTAGGAGTGGGGTTCCTAATTCACAGAAACATAGCTGGCAACATAGAGGAATGCTATAGCATTAATGAAAAGGTGGTAGGTATTGTAATTAAACTGAATAAAAGATACAAGATGAAGGTAGTACAGGCTTACGCGCCTACATCCAGCCATGATGACGCTTCAGTTGAAAGTTTCTATGAAGACGTGGAATCGGCAATGAGTAAGGTAAAAACACAGTATACTATAGTGATGGGCGACTTTAATGCAAAGGTAGGGAAGAAGTAGGCTGGAGACCAGGCAGTAGGAGATTATGGCATCGGCACTAGAAACGCCAGAGGAGAGCTACTAGTAGAATTTGCAGAACGGAATAATTTGCGGATTTTGAATACCTTCTACCGAAAACGAGAAAACCGCAAGTGGACATGGAGAAGCCCTAATGGCGAAAATAAGAACGAAATATACTTTATAATGACTGCACACCCAGGAATCGTGAAGGATGTGGAAGTGGTTGGCAAGGTACGATGCAGTGACCATAGAATGGTACGGTCTCGAATTCACCTAGACTTGAAGAACGAACGACAGAAACTGATACGAAAGAAGCCAATCAATGAGGTAGCACTGAGAGGGAAAGTACAGGAATTCAGAGTGCCGCTGCAGAACAGGTACTCGGCTCTTAGTGAGGAAACCAACCTTAGCCTAGATACAATGAATGGTAATCTGACGAGTATCATTACGGAGTGTGCAGTGGAAGCTGGAGGCAGGGTAGTTAGACAGGACACTGGCAAGCTTTCCCAGGAAACGAAAAACCTAATTAAGAAGCGTGAAATCATGAAAGTCTCAAGTACAACAGACAAAATAGAACTGGCAGAGCTTTCAAAGTTGATTAATAGGCGTAAGGTATGCGATGTAAGAAGGTATAACATGGAGAGAATTGAACACGCTCTGAAAAACGGAGGAAGCGTCAAAGCAGTGAAGAGGAAACTTGGGATAGGCAAAAGTCGGATGTATGCACTAAGGGACAAGAGAGAGAGAGATAAAGATACAAGGAAAGGCAGGGAGGTTAGCCAGACGCACATCTGGTTTGCTACCCTGCACTGGGGAAGGGATAAAGGGGAGAAAAGAGGTTGCAGAAAGATGAGAAGGTACACACAATCACGAGCACACTCGGGGAGCACACACAGTTTACAGGCGGTCGCTCAGGTTTGTTACTTAAGGTAAAGTAGCAGTGCTTTATTTGCTTTCTGCGCAACTGAGGCAGATGCCCAGGGTCCTAGTATCTTCTGCACACAAAATGGTCCGGGGTCAAGTCGATACAAAACCATCCGTAGCTGGCATCGCTGTGTGTCGTAGCAAGCGCAGCTGCACAGGACGTGTTCGATGGTCTCTTCATCTCCGCAGTAGTCGCATGTAGGAGTGTCTGCCATACCAATGCGAAAGTAGTACGCCTTTGTGAATGCAACACCCAACCAAAGGCGGCATAACAGTGTCGCATCGGAGCGGAAAAGTTGTGATGGTAGCTTTAGCTTGAGCGAAGGATCCAGTTCATAAAATTGACACCTTTGGAAGCTGGTAGACGACCAGAACGTGCGTGTGAGATGTCGAGCCAGCAGGTAAAGTTGTCTTGCTGCATCATTCCTTGATAGAGGAATCGGGACTACACGGGTTTGTTCATGGGCTGAGCGGGTTGCATCATCGGCTAATTGATTTCCGGTAATACCGATATGTCCAGGCAGCCATTGATATATAATATCATGCCCTCGTGCTAGAGCTTCATGATGGCAATGTCTTATTTCTTGTACCAGTTGGTCATGGCTCCTCCTACGCATTGCAGACTGCAAACTCTGGAGCGCTGCCTTCGAATCACAGAATATGACCCATTTTCCTGGACGTTCTTGAACGAGATATTGTAAAGCAGCCCTTACAGCAGCAAGCTCTGATGCCGTAGATGTAGTAATATGCGACAACTTAAACTTGATTGTCATTTCTGCAGCAGGAATTACAGCGACACCTGATGAGCTGCTGGATGAGACGGACCCATCAGTGTATATCTGCGTTCGGTCTAAGTACAACTCATGTAATAATAGCAGTGTTGCTTGCTTCAATGCTACTCTGGAGTGACTGCTTTTCTTTTTGATTCCCGGAATTGCTAGACGTACTTGCGGCTGGTCGAGGCACCAGAAAGGGCATGCCGTTCTCGCAGCTGGCGTATATCCTGATGGAATGCTGTTTAGGTGCTTGGCTATGACGTCTGAAAACGCAGCACGTGGTCTTCCGGAAGGTATAAGGGCCAAGTGGTGGTCGGGGACACGGCTAGCATGTCGAATGTGCGCTCTGAGGCAATCCACAACTATATATGTCCTGACCGGATGGTCTTTGGCAAGCATGATTGTGGCATAAGTAGAAGCGCATCGGGGCAGTCCTAGGCACATACGCAGTGCCTGACCCTGCAAACTCTCCAATGAATGAGTATTCGATTTGCAAGTGTTAGTCAGTACCGGCAAGCTGTAGCGCAATAGACCCAAAAATAGGGCCCTGTACAGCTGTAGCATGGAGGCCACAGAAGTTCCCCATGCTTTACCGCACAAGAATTTCATATTATGCACAATAGATAGCAGTCTCTTCTTCAAGTACGCACAATGTGGGCTCCACGAAAGACTTCTGTCGATAATTATGCCCAGGAAACGATGCGTCCGTGCATATTTGACACTCTGCCCATTGATGTAAACAGGGTATGGCGTCATTGGTTTGCGTGTAAACGCCATCAACGCGCACTTCACAGTTGATATATTTAGGCCTTGTTTCTGAAGGTAGGCTGTTGTGAGGGTTGCTGCCCGCTGTATTCGTGCACGCACCTGAGGGCGAGTAACTGCAGCACTCCAGAGGCAAATATCGTCGGCGTATATGGATAGGCACACCGACTTTGGCAGAACCTTCACCAGACCAATGAGGGCCACATTGAACAATGTGGGGCTTAAAACACCTCCCTGAGGTACTCCGCAGTAGGTGTAATGTTGGGAAGTTGTACCCTCATATGTTTGTACAAAGAAACCCCTGCCAGTTATATAATCTTTTATCCATTGAAACATTCGTCCACTAATGCCCATTGCGGCGAGAGAAGTGAGGATGGCATCGTGAGCTACATTATCATATGCAACCTTCACGTCAAGAAAGAGTGCCACTGATATGCGCTTGCGACTTTTTTCTTTTTGAACAAATGTCGATAAATCAAGGACACAGTCAATGGAGGAGCGGCCCCGACGAAAGCCTGCCATGCAAGAAGGGTATTTGGTGTATCGTTCCAAGTACCACTCGAGACGAAATAGAATAATTCTTTCCATCACTTTTCCGAGGCAGCTTGCGAGGGCAATAGGGCGATACGCTGTCAAGTCCAATGGTGATTTTCCCGATGTCAAAAGTGGTATTAATCGACTAATTTTCCATTCTCGGGGAACACTGCCGCTGAGCCAGGAGTTGTTGAAGCATGTTAAAAGTTCTTTTCTAGCTTTTTGTCCAAGGTGTCCCAACGCACTATAAGTAATACCATCAGGTACTGGCGATGACATGCGCTTAGAAGCGACTAACGCGCCTTCCAGTTCTTCTATGGTGAACGGAATGTCCATTTCTGGTAATCGCGTCTCAGGAACGATCACGGCGTCAATGCTCTCGTTCATAATATTCCCGGCAACTCTCGTGCAAAATTCTTCAGCCACCTCGAGTTCTGTTTTTTCATGATGAAGTGCCAAAGCTTTAAAAGGGTGCCGTTGTTGTGAAGAGGAGCGAAGACCACGAACTGTTCTCCAGATATATGACAGCGCTTTATGAGGGTCTAGAGATTCGCAGAATGCTTTCCAGCGTTCGCTGGACAAAAAAGGCAAAATAACTACCAATATGGATAGGATAGTTAAAATAGCAGAGGAGTTTTGCAGAAACCTGTACAGTATCCGAGACAACCATGACCTTAATACTATAAGAACTAGCAGTAACCCAGATGACACCCCACCAGTAATGATAGAAGAAGTCAGAAAAGCTTTGGAGAGCATGCAAAGAGGCAAAGCTGCTGGTGAGGATCAGGTAACATCAGATCTGCTGAAAGATGGAGGACAGATTGTGTTAGAAAAACTAGCCACCCTGTTTACGAGGTGTCTCCTGACGGGAAGGGTACCAGAGTCTTGGAAGAACGCTAACATCATCTTAATACATAAGAAAGGAGATCACAAGGACTTGAAGAATTACAGGCCGATCAGCTTGCTCTCTGTAGTATACAAGCTATTTACAAAGGTAATTGCTAATAGAGTAAAGAAAACATTAGAATTCAATCAACCAAAGGAACAAGCAGGATTTAGAACAGGCTACTCAACAATTGACCACATTCATACTATCAATCAGGTAATAGAGAAATGCTCAGAGTATAACCAACCACTATACATAGCCTTCATAGATTACGAGAAGGCGTTTGATTCAGTAGAAATATCAGCAGTCATGCAGACACTGCGGAATGAGGGCGTAGATGAAGTAAATATAAACATTCTGGAAGAAATCTACAGGGGATCAACTGCTACTATAGTGCTTCATAAAGAAAGCAACAAAATACCACTCAAGAAGGGTGTAAGGCAGGGGGCACAATCTCCCCAATGCTATTTACCGCGTGCGCACAGGAGGTTTTCAGAAGCCTAGAATGGGAACAGTTAGGGATAAGAGTTAACGGAGAATACCTTAGTAACTTGCGCTTCGCCGATGACATTGCATTGCTGAGTAACTCAGGGGACGAATTGCAACTCATGATTACGGAGTTAGACAAGGAGAGCAGAAGGGTGGGTCTTAACATTAATCTGCAGAAAACGAAAGTAATGTACAACAACCTCGGAAAAGAGCAGCGCTTCGAGATAGGTAATAGTGCACTTGAAGTTGTAAAAGACTATGTCTACCTAGGGCAGGTAATAACCGCAGAGCCTAACCACGAGATTGAAGTAACTAGAAGAATAAGAATGGGGTGGAGCACATTCGGCAAGCACTCTCAAATTATGACAGGTAGATTGCCACTATCCCTCAAGAGGAAGGTATATAACAGCTGTATCTTGCCGGTACTTAGCTACGGAGCAGAAACCTGGAGACTTACAAAGAGGGTTCAGCTTAAATTAGGACGACGCAGCGAGCGATGGAAAGAAAAATGGTAGGTGTAACCTTAAGAGACAAGAAGAGAGCAGAGTGGATTAGGGGACAAAAGGGGGTTAAGGATATCATAGTTGAAATAAAGAAGAGGAAATGGACATGGGCCGGGCATGTAGTGCGTAGACAGGATAACCGCTGGTCATTAAGGGTAACTAACTGGACTCCCAGAGAAGGGAAGCGGGTTAGGGGGAGACAGAAGGTTAGGTGGGCAGATGAGATTAAGAAGTTTGCGGGTATAAATTGGCAGCAGCAAGCACAGGACCGGGTTAACTGGCGGAACATGGGAGAGGCCTCTGTCCTGCAGTGGACGTAGTCAGGCTGATGATGATATATATATATATATATATATATATATATATATATATATATATATTCGAAATAACTTTTTGAAGTCACCCCGTAGTAAGCGAAAAATTGCAAAGATGTGCAATAATTCTGAAGAAATATGAATGCCTGAAGGTCACATTATGCAATAGATTCCTGTATGATATGAACTAGACTAACTTGTATTGCTATTTTTAGTTATTTCTGCCTTCGTTTTTAGTGTATGACATTGTTTTAAGATATACCTTAGTTATTAAAAATTAACACGGGTTTCTTAAGGAACACAGGTCAATCACCGAATTGGAATATGGGCTGAGAAGTATAGAAAACGTAAAGTGCAAACGTGTCTTCACATTAACAATAAAAGAGTTGTTTTGTCACATGTCATTATTAAGTCCTCAAGTTTCTCGGGTAAATGAAACTGTGTGCGACAGGATGACATCCTGCAGCACCAAGCTTACTTAGTTTTTATTAGCCTGCATTGATAATTTATTGATTAGAGAGCTCCTCAGTATTGAAACTTGAGATATACGTATTGTTTAAGAACAGATATAGTGACGACCATCTCCAGAATGTATAAGTGCTGTAATCGTCCTCTAATATTATGCACTTTTATTACGCATAGAGCAATGACATTTTATGGCATATCTTTTCCTGGGACCTCATCATCTATCAAAAGCATCTCTGTTTCTGTAACAACAGCGTCACATTTAAAAAACGTGTATTCTCTTGATTTTTCGTACAGCAGGAATTATGACACCGAATACCATTAAACGGACACTGGGACTCCTAGCACTGCTGCTTGGATTCGCAGACAGCTTTTCAGGTGACTATTGCAGCCTTGTTAAATGCGTGACATGGAAATGCTATCTCTTACCACCCTGCGTTGTAAACTCTAGTAGCACATTTCGATTTCAAAAACGTATCATTGGTATCATCTTCTGATTATTTTGAACAATTTAAAACAATTTCAGTGCTCCCATTACGTGAACGTGAATAATGTCATGGAACAGGCCTTTCGTTTGCCACTACCCGAAGCTGCATTTCATTCAATAACACTTATTATTATGCTGCAGTGCAACCGAATTCTGAAACATACGTAGGCTCATTGGCTGGCTACATACGAGCGGCGTCAGGCTGCACTTGCAGTTGTTTGGTGAAATATCCAATAGCCAGCCACTCGGACATCTAAGATAGGAACTCTACTACAAGTGACACGAACATCATTAGAAGTCTTATATTAACAAGTTGTATCATCTCTTGCTGTCCCTTTTTCAGCTTCCCATAAACTACGATGTCCATAAGTGCGACACAGGCTTTCTTGTGAATATATGCTTGAATATTACCCCATCTACGACATTCATGAATACTTCATGACATGCCAAATACAACGCAGTAAGGACATTCGACACCGAACGTATACAGCACTGGCCACATGTTAAAAATAACATGCGCCTGGTCTGAGGACATTCTTGAGCCAACATCGACAATGTTTCTTGCTCCTAAATTAGACTTTCTATTACCGGTGCCGTAAGTGATCTCATGCGAGTATTTTGCAGGCATCACACACGTTAGTGGTCGTTCTATAAGATTCACTGGCTTGCCGAAGTTAATATTTATATTCTTAGCCATGCCTTTACAAGTGAATATACGATATATTCAAAAATTACTTTTAGAAATGGCTCCCAAGTCTAGTTTTTTCGAAGAACAGAACTTCGAAAGAATAACACCAGGATACAGCTTACTAGCTTTCTTACCGTGCCTTATTCATAGTACGGATGAGTTCCTTGATGTTTTCTTTTTTTTTCATCTACTTTTCTCTGTGCGTACTTTTAAATAGTATGTTACACGTTTCTATGAACCATCGTGCTTAACGAGGGCTAACAACATTGTCGATGATGTCAAGATTCCCACCGCGGTCGTTTGTCTCACTCCGCCCCAGCGAGCTCGCCGAAAGTGTGGGCACGGAAACCAAATCATCCTCGGTTTCCGTCACGTAGCCATTCGTTGCATCAACGTGAGGTTCGGCCGCTCAAGGCGTGTTACACTCAGCGACGTGCAGATGTAGCGTCTCGAGACAATGCCGGCATAATAGTGCAGAGAAATCAATAGATTTCCCGTTTTCAGACATCGCATTTGGATGAGGCGTGGTCAGCTTGACTGCAAAATGATGGTGAAACCAAGCGAATGCACGTTCACCCTCCCCTCAATTGACTTTGTACGCGGAGCTAGAAATGGGTTCTACGTTTCGAGTGCTACGTGAGCAAGCGTCTCTCATATCTGCAACCATGGCCTTCATGAGTAACTCACGACGTATCATTGCACGAACTAACTGACGAGGCCACGCTTCAGCAGTGCTGATGACGAGGCATACCGAGCATGATGTTGCCGTGTAAGCTCGGCGTCTCAACAAGCCTGGCGGAAACAGCTTCTGTTATATTTTTCAACAAAAAACACTATTTGCAGTCACTTATGAGAACTCTCACATCGCTTTCATTGTATTCAGTTATGATCAAACGGTGCTTGCACGCTTCTTGTTTGATAAGTGCTGCAGCTTACCTTCAAATGCATTAATCTAAATTATTCTTGTGTGTATGAGAGTTGGAAGAATAGGTCCACGTGAGAGTTAAATATATGTATTTTGCACTACACTTACACCACTATGAAATTCTTGGCACAGAATGCTTCAAGCCTTGACTAACACTTCTTTGCCTAAACACAGATGCATTGGAACAGCGAGTAATCACGCTATGCTGAAATACAGTGCTGCACTCTTACATTTTAGAGTGGTGTGATGCCGACAACGATCGCCGTCTGGAGCAAGCCATTGAGACGGCGTTAGTTGGCATCCCACCAGAGGTGAGCTCCAAAGAGCAGAACGTGAACTCTGGACCATTTTATCCCATACTCTTCAATGAATACAAAGTGAGTGGGTTGAACCTACTCCGACGACAGGGACCTCTTCAGACGTACTGCGGCAATGGAAGTCAGGTAATGTACCATCATGTTTCAGTTATTGCCACTAGTGTCATTTTTCTTTGCACGTCTAATTTACTGCTGAATGCCAAGCAGTTGCGTTCTTTTTGTTGCCCTTCCTACATGTATTTCGCCTGAGAGACATCAACCGTTATGCCACTCTGATTCCTTACACAAATTTAATTTTGACTAGCAACAGTATTGCTACGAAAGGGGCTTGTTGGTTCACGTTGGCGTGGCGAAGCGCTTACGGTAGGGAGAGGTTGCGAAGGAAATATTACGAAGGACACAGGACACAGTGTTAACAAGATAAGCACAAGCCTCAACTGGTTATTTATTCGTGTGTGGTCGATATTGTCATGAGGTTGTGACTGGGACGAATGAAGCAGACTGTAGGCCTAAAAAAATGGCAGAATATCCACAGGGGGAATCATAGAGAGTGGGGTGAAGCATTCATCCGTCCATTCGTTCTTGCTTCCGTCCGTCCATGCGTCCGTCTGTGTGACGGTCCGTGCGTTCATCCACCCGTAAGTGCGCGCGTCTGTTCGTGCGTCTCAACGTCCATCCATGCGTTTGTCCTAGCGTTCGTCCATGCATCTGCCCCTGCGGCCGCCCATGCGTCCTTCCGTCCGTGTAGTCATCCGTGCGTCCTTCCATGCATCTGCCTGTGTGCCCGTTCGTCCATCTAGTCAACACTCCAAGTACCGCCATCTCGCATCTTTTCATCATATATTTTGTATATTGAAGCACCACCATCCAGCGGACAATCCAGTGAATAAAAAAGACGTGGCACATGCACACTTTCTTACGGCTTGCGCTTCGTGTCTACTTCCCACCTTTAACCCCCTCGAGTTCATGGTATATACTAGTTTACTGTATTCATGGCTCCACGGCCCAACGCTCGCTAAATCTTTCTAAAACCAAGGAGGTCACGCCCAGCGAGTATAACGTAGCAACCCTTTCTTGTCAGATAGTGGTCAGTGTAAATGCCAATGGCTCCAAATGGGGAATGAGAGACAGGAAAATTCGGCTTTTAGTTAACGCGCGCACTGCGAATTTTTTATTGATCAACGACGCACAGGAGAAATCTCCCACCGGCACCACCTTGTAGGTCAAAGCGTAAGACATGCTACGTACTACGACGAGGGACTAATTAGTGCTGCTTCAAGGAGCTTCGCCCCTGAAAAAGTCTTATAGGATGGTGCACACCGGCGACAAGCAGACTAGATGCGGTCGTCCCACCATTCGCGACTGGCGACCGAAAAGCGACTGATGTTCACACCGGCAGAGGCTGCATGCGAGCGACAGGAAGTCGCAAAACCGGAGAGTCACGTCCGTATCTCGTTATTAGCGAGAACTCTGGAGACCGACGCCGATCAGCTGATCGCCGCCAGCTGAGTGAGCGGAGCAAACCGAGTGTGCCGCCTTTACTGTTTTCATCCATTCTTGCACAGCGTTCCCAACAGTGTCACGTTCGAGTCAAGCTAAGAACAAGACATGGTCATGGTGCTTGTGCGCAGAGCCATGGTGTCAGCGCTGGCATCACAGACGCCTCCAAAGAAAAAAAAGTGGCAGCATATCCACGCAGTGAATGATGGAGAGTGGGGCGAAGAATTCGTCCGTCCATTCGTTCTATCTTCCGTCCGTCCAAGCGTCCGTCAGTGTGACCGTTCATGCGTCCATCAGCCCGCCCGTGCGTGCGTCTGTTCGTGCGTCCGTCCCTGCGTTCGTCCATGCAGCCGCCCCTGCGTCCGTTCATGCGTCCATCCATGCATCTGCCTATGTGTTCATTCGTCCAACTATTCAACACTCCAAGAGACCGCCAGGGGGCTCGAAGTAGTGCAGACGCGCTCGCTTCGCGCTCTGTATTCTCATGATTTTAGATGCGGAGCATCTAATACTCGAGGCTTGTAGTGCGGCGCCGTCCGCAAGCTTCCTCCTCCTCCTTCCACCATCTGTGCATCATTTCCTCCTCTACACACCGCGCGCGCTTCACTCCTCCACCATCTGTGAACCCTTCCTCCTCTACACACCGCGTGCGCTTCTCCTCTTCACCAACAATCGCTAGCTGTATAATGTAGCGCGCATGCGCCGTCACGCTTCGAGAACATCGGCAGCTGACGCGCGCGCATGCGCCGTCGCGCTTCGAGAACATCGGCAGCTGACACGCGCGCATGCGCCGTTGCGCTTCTCCCCCTTCTCGAACATTAGACAGCTGACGCGCGCATGCACCGTCACCCACCATCTGTGCCGCGCGCGCTTCTCCCCTTCGAGAACATTCTACAATTCTCCTGATTCTCCAGTGGACGCGCATGCGTCGTCGCGCTTTGAGAACATTCAACAGCTGACAGTGCATGCGCCGTCGCGCTGTATATATACTCAAGGTCGGCGCTCGCTCGCTCAGTTGCCGCTCGTCGGTTGGTTTGTACGGCGCGTCGACGTCCAAGGTCGCGGTGAAATGAATGCCAACGAATCCACAAACAGAATGATCGACGTCCCTTCGACCAGCACCGCCCTTTCGCATACGTGTGTACGTGTTCACTCATTTAACACCCCCTCCTACAACCACGTTAACCAATTTAGCCATCGACCCAAGTAAGTCGCAATTTAACACCCCATTTCACAACCACGTTAACCAATTTAGCCATCGACCCAAGTAAGTCACACTTTAACACCCCGTCAACCAATTATATGCTCCGCATCCTCCTCAGTGTTCCCCCGAGGGAAGCTGCGGGCAATTTTTTAGTGGTGTTTTCCGTCTGCAACCACTTGAAACGTTACTATCAGCTTCAAGAAGTTCCGAGGAACGCCTGGGCACCACTCAAGAGGATTTCTTGCCACTTGGAGGTGCCAAAGGACTTCAGAAAGTTCGTCACCCCTAGGACGCTCACCAAACGCTGACCTGGGGAGCCGCCGGCAGCTGCACCGACGCTGGGGACGCCCGCGTCGGAGCTTCATCCAGCTATGGCTCTCAACGCGGCGACCGACCAACAATACCACCTCCTAGACCAGGATGGTACAGCAGACGACCAAATGGATCAACTCCAGGGCGACCACGATACGGTGAGTCGAGACGCTATCGGCGCTCAATCGCATGCAGAAGAGGACGCTAGCTGGCAGGCAGCGAAATCCACCAAAAAACGCAAGCAAGAGGCACTGGAGCGGAGGCGCGGCAGCGCAGGGCTCCAGGACCAAGTTAAGACAGGCACGCCAACATTCAAGAAATTGCCAAAGCTACCGCCGTTGCCGAAGGACGATTACAAGATCGTCATTCATCCAAACCAGGGCCTCCCGCTGGGAAACATTCTGACTCCTACGCTTGCGCAAACAATCATCGAGGCATGCCAAGCTGGCATCAGAGATGACCATTTCACCCTTAGAATCAACCCAGGGTCAAACATAGCGATTCTGTCGACCAAATATGAGGAAGTGGCGGACAAAGTGCGTCTGATACGCGCCCTTGTGCTTAACGGCATTGCTCACGCTGTCCGTGCCTACGCCGCAAATGGAGACGATACTCTGAGAGGGGTGATTCACGGCGTACCGATGAACACCTCAACCGAAACTCTCATGGCGCACCTACGTGTCAGAACACACGGTGTGGAGATCATCACTGCCAGAATGATAGGGACAACGAAAAGCGCAGCCATTAAATTTTTCGGTCCAACGCTACCTCGTACCGTCTACTATTACGGGGGTGAACTCCGCTGCTACCCCTTCCGACCTACGATTCAAGTCTGCAAGGTCTGCCGAGAAAAAGGACACTGCGGGGACGTTTGCCCGCATCCGGATCGCCCCATTTGCCTTCTGTGCGGACTGACTAATCCAATGGAGGGACATCCGTGTTCTATTAGTTGCGCCTCGTGCGGGGAGGCTCACCCCACAGGAGATCCAACTTGCAAAAAAAGACTTAAGCCGCCGAAGCCTAAACAGCCGCAAGTACAAGCAGGCCACAGTGATAAGCTTCAACAGGACACTAGCAACGACCCACCGAGGACCAAGAATCTCCGCTGGTTCTCCTCCGAAGAGGAAGAAAACGCCTAAAAGTCAGCCGATGACAAGCACAGTTCCCGGTCGCATTCACGGTCCCCGGGCAGAAAACCGCACTCGCCATCCAAGAAGAGCGCACCAGCACCGACTCAGCAGAACCTCCACCGCAGTCCTCCAGGAGGGGGAGCCAAAGGCAACGGCGGGGATCAAGGATGCACCCAACAGGCATCATCACTTCCGGTAAGCTGGGCGGAAGCCGTGGCTCCCAAGTCTGCATGTACTCCCCCCATCACACAAAACGTACACTATCAAGCAGTAACCGCTGAAAACAAACAGCTTAAGCAACGCCTTGACAAATACGAGAACAAAATAATGTGGCTCGAAAAACAGCGGGCCCAATTAATGGGAGCCACCCCGAAAACTACAGTCCAGGCCTCTCAAAATCTAACTAGCCACCCAAGCGAAAAGCTACGGGACAATGGGCACATCCAACCGCAATCGACACCACCACGAGATCCTGTAGCCAATATAGGAACAGAACAAACAGCGACAAACCTCACTTTACAACAACAACTGCAGCTAATGCAACAGCACATACTGCAGCAAACAGAAGCCCAAATGAAACAGTTCTTTGTCGAATTTCATGACCTGAAGCGATACGTTCATGAAAGCCTCGACAAAGAAACGAAGCGTCGACTTAAGCAGAGCCAACCGCAGTCCCAGGAGTCCGACGCCAAAAGCATGCTTACCTCGGACGCTGAAAGCACACCCACCTCCTCGCATCATGGTAATTAACCGACGCATAGCAAACGAGAATCTCACTATATGGTCCTGGAACTGTCGTTCCCTGCACAACAAGCACGTTACACTCACTATATACATAAAGGCGGCGCTGGTTCCTCCTGACGTAATCTGCTTGCAAGAGGTGGGAGCCAGGCCTAAAACAGTTTCTGGCTACAAACTATACATGGATCCAAAGACACCTAAGATTGCGACACTCGTCCGGAAAGAATTGGCAGCTACAT